AAAGTTAGAACATCACTCAGAAACCTAAGTAAGGAAGCATCTTAAAGTTTGCAGCCTAATCATGGAGTCCCTACCTAAAGAAACACATAAGAAAACTGGAAAAGGTTCAGAAGTTTGCGACGAGGCTCGTCCCAGAGTTACGAGGGATGGAGTATGAAGAGCGCCTAAAGGAACTGAACCTGACGACACTAGAAGAAATAAGGAAGAGAGGGGATATGATAGGAATATATAAAATATTCAGGGGGATTGACAGTGAAAATAGACGAAATGTTCACACGGAGTACAAACAGACCAAGAGGACATGGGTGAAAGCTGGAAACTCAGAAGAGTCAGAGAGATATTAGGAAGTTTTCTTTTAGCGTGAGAGTAGTGGAAAAATGGAATGCACTTAAGGAGCAGGTTGTGGAAGCAAACTCTATTCCTAATTTTAAAACTAGATATGATAGGGAAATAGGACAGGAGTCATTGTTATAAACAACCGATGGCTAGAAAGGCGGGATCTAAGAGTCAATGCCCGATCCTGCAGGCACAAATAGGTGAGTACATGTCAGTAGGATAGTTGAGGACTAGAGCCACACGCGTGGTCCCGTGCAACATTTGTTGGCAGACATTTGTTTGCTCACTCCTATAGTTTGTTAATGTCATCCTTTAACTTTCTGCAGTTCTCTTCTGTTTTTGCATTATTTATTAGCTTTGCACCGTCTGCAAACATTGACACGTATAAGCTCACTCTCTCGGATAGATCATTCACATAAATTATGAATAGTAGGGAACCTCAGACTAAACCTTGGGGAACTCCACTTCTTACATTCCTCCAACTCAGAACCTCTTCTCTAACTATGACTTTCTGTTTTCTGTATTTTGTGTAGTTTCCAACCCAGTTCAGTGTCTTCTCAGTTATGCTTGCTTACTTCTCCATCTTGTACACCAGCCTTTTATGAGGAAGTGTTGGAATTATATCCAATCTCAAATATCTTTCTCTTTCCGATTCGTGCAGAAGCCTTTCCGTTTTTTTTTTTTGGTATTTATATATACATGAGTTCTTATATTCTTGTACAGCCACTAGCACGCATAGCGTTTCGGGTAAGTCCTTAATCCTAATTTTCACACACACACACATCCCCAGAAAGCAGCCCGTAGCAGCTGTCTAATTCCCAGGTACCTATTTACTGCTAGGTGAACAGAGCATCAGGGTGAAAGAAACTCTGCCCATTTGTTTCCGCCCCCGCCGGGAATCGAACCCGGACCATTAGGATTACGAACTCCGAGCTCTGTCCACTTAGCCATCAGCCCTCCTTAATGGTGTAGATAATTCCTGGTCTACTTTATCTTATTTTATCTTAATTTCCTCACACTTGTTGGGGTTAAATTTTAACAGCCCTTTCTATGCCCACCCCTGGAGTTTACCAAGGTCTTTTTGTAACTTTCTGCAGTCATCCTTCTCCTCCTCCTCGGGTTTCACAGTCTTCATAATATTAGGCTGGCATCGTCTGCAAACACTAACATATGAACTTACTCTCTCAGGTAGATAGAACATACATGTATTGTTCTATCTACATGAACTTTCCACTGCCAGAGACAATCCAAACAGTAAATATAGCGACAGATCAGTCACTGAAGAGAGATCAGTTAGTCACTACAGAGGCAGATCAATCACTATGATGACAGATCAGTCACTGAGGACAAATCAATTAGTCACTAGGGGAGACAAAACAGACGAAGGTATTGTGAGCGTCACGGCCAAACATCGATTCTCCGAGGAATGGCTCTAGACTATTCGAGCAGCAAGGTGTTGAGCACAGACCTTACAGGGATGAGTGGCGGCGGGTCGAGGCTCACCCAAGAACCCATGCGATTTATTCAGGAAATTCATAACACTCTGATAGCTTATCATCATCATCATATAACGCCGAAGAAAGAGAGTACATAGACTGGGATGATGACTGGCATAAAATAGTGCTTTCACTGCTGTTGGAAGCTAAGTGTACTCCCCTAAAGTGTACTCACCTAGTGTGCGGTGTGATCTGTGGTCTTCACTTTTCGTTCCTGTCAATTGGACAGATTAGCCTATGAGGATACCTAAATCGCTCTGCGGTATAATCCAAGTAAGTTATTAAATATATTCCTTCTTCAGCTAAAAAATATGTAAATTAGAGTCCGGACCACGTGGAAACACCACCTGACCGATGTTATCCTGGGAGGAATTGTATATCAAATAGGATCGCCGCCGCTGTGTACCTTAAGCCTGTTGATAAAAAGCTATCATCAATGGATAATGTCTGAACTATTTTAAGTTACATTATTACGTATGGTAATTATCCACACCTATAGGATAAATTATATTTTAAAATAATAACATATTTAAGAGCATATTTCAAAATATTTGAAAATAAGTAATAAGTATTGCTTTAAAAGTTAATGTAAACATGAGGCAGAAACTGTACTTGTGGTCGATCTCGAACCCATTTATGATGTGACGACTTAATTATACTGAATTTTGTAACTAGCTCATCAAGATTGTAACTTGCTTAGCTAAATTAATTGTGGGGTTCAGTCCCTGAGCCCATTATGTGCCTCTGTAACCCTTTCCACTACCGCCCACAAGATGGGTATGCATAATAAATGAACTAAACTAAAAAAAAAGATGAGGCTTGAGGTTCATGCACTATCCAGCCCTCGACGTTGTGTGTGTAGGATAATATTGACTCCAGTTACATAATAATACATAACAGTTAGAGTATAAATATTAGTTTGTTACAAGCAAAGTCATTCGAATTTCATATAGGAATCTAGGAGACTGCATGGGAAGTGTGCAGTCAGAAGGCGGTTGGCAATACCGGTTGCTAGGCGGATCCCGCCATAATTTCGTTTAGTTATTTATTATTGACACGTGCGAGTGGTATTGGAAAAGGTTACAGAGGCACATATTAAATGGGGTCGGGAAATGAGCCCCAAAATTAAATTGGCTTAGCTAAGTTGACAGTCTTGAAAAAATAGTTATACAGTTTAATGTACATGAATAATAATGACGTATGTACCAACAATGGGAGGACCACAACAATGTGTAAACTAAGCAATTTACATTTACACTAAGCTAGATTCATATTATTTGATTTGCTTAACATGCACCCCACATCCAGCTTGAGGGCGGCGGAAGCAAGGTTAATCACTTACAGTTACCAAACTGGGGATAATTGGCTAAAATGTCTGGTGGTAGATAATTTTGAATGATATACCAACAAATTTCTTGGACAATTGTTATAAAGCAAGCTTTAAAATCATGTATCTTCTCGTACTCCATCACATATAGTGACGGACGATAATTGAATAATTTTGCTGATAAGTTTACATCATTAGGAAATGCAAACTCCCAGAGATACTGTAACCGAATATAAGCAGTAGTAACATCTAGGAGTCTGTTGAGTGCATGGGATGATCCATAGATTGATATGAGGCTCTTATTGTATGGTGTCACGTGTCGCTCACCTTGGCCTTGTGTGACGGGAGCTACAGTTAAACAACATGGGTGTTACCGCTAAACTCGAGAGCTCAACCAGCGTACGTCCACTCTCAACCAAGTGCTGTGAATCTCTGAGCCCAGGTGCTCTGCAAGTCCTGAGCCAGGCCGCCCGGTGACGGCATAGCATCCAAGGGCGTGCTCTCATTGGTCAAACTCGTCACGTGACCTCTGCCAGCCAATCGCCAGCCTGCTGGCGTCTTCACGATTTTGGCGCACTTTTGCCGGCTCGTCGCCATTTTGTATGCACTAGGGGCGTAAGCTCCCTTGCAAGCCAAAACTAAAATAACAATTTTACACCTGAATAAGTACTCTTGCTAGCAGTCACATATGTCAAAGGGGTCCCTGCATTTCAATGGTCTGACTCTTGTGGAGGTATGACTCTTCTCGCTGGATAAGGGAAGATATAGGAGAAGGCACCGTAACAATGGTTATCTTGAGGCGATTTCGGGGCTTAGCGTCCCCGCGGCTCGGTCCTCGACCAGGCCTCCTTTTTGTTACGCACCCCCAGGGAGCAGCCCGTAGCAGCTGTCTAACTCCCAGGTACCTATTTCTTCTGCTACGTAACAAGCGCATCAGAGTGAAAGAAACTCTGTCCATTTATTTCCGCCTCCACCGGAGATCGAACCCGAAACCTCAGGACTACGAATCCCGAGCGCTGTCCACTCAGCTGGTTGTGTAAGCATAAGAATTATTGTGCAAACAAGTACATAATAGTACAGTACGTTATACATAAATATATAATACATAATTATGTTATTATTATTAATTATGTTATAATACATAATTATGTTATTTATGCACATAAAACAGAACAAGGATAATAGAAAATAGCTGTTACAAAAGTTGGAGAAACAGGCAGGAATAACAGATAAGGTGCTCCAGTGGATAAGAGAGTATCTAAGCAACATAAAACAGCGAGTAACTGTTGAGAGGGGATGGCTGGGGATGAGGGAGATGATATCTCCTTGCCTTGAACTGTGGAGATGGGATGACATCTCGCCACCTCAGGGTGGTGAGATGTCATCTGTGGAGTCCCACAGGGCTCTGTACTTGACCAATCCTGTTTCTGATATGTAAACGAGCTTCCAGATGGTATGGGCTCATTTCTCTCAATGTCTGGTGATAATTCTCTCCCCAGAAGCCCTCATCAAAAGGTTATCATCAGCGGCGTATGCCGTTGATGATATCCTTTTGCGGGCTATTCAAGCCTGTGCCACCTTTTGGTGGCTAATCTTCATCAATCACTCACCATGCACAATTACAGCCCAGCTCCTGTGGCAGGTAAGTCCACTATACGGGCTCACCATTGCCCGTGCTACTTGGAACTTTTTGTTCCGAGTAGCTGAATCTAAAACAACAACAACAACGACACCACACAGACACAACTATGATGTATAAGCGAGCACCGCAAATAAACATCCCAATCATTCTTCAAAGAGCATTGGAAGTTTTGAGGGTTAATATAGCCTCCTGTCCACAGATGGGCAACTCCTCCACCATCCTGTGTAAGAATGAACGTAAAGTTACCTTCGCAGAGTATGCAGTTGAAGAACAGCCACCAGGAATTGAGAGTAAATCCTTTCTCACGGAAGAGGCAGCTTACAAGCGTCTTCAAAACTATTATAACAAGAATGGAAGCAAAATAAATATTCTTCAGCTATTTAAAGATGATCCAGATAGGTTTAAGAAATACAGGTACTGTATGAGGTTTTTATCTGTATTTGAATGTAGGCTACGTTCTAATGATTGATAATATTTGTTTATATGTTCGATGGTATTTTAGATCATGGATCACTTATTTATTGTTAATAATTATAATTACTTGTTAAGCATATGGATAATTTGTACTATAGTAGTTCAACACTGTTTTTCTCTGCCTGTTAACGATCAAATTAAGGCAGCCATAAATAGCATTATTACCTGAATTTATTTGAGGGCCATTATATCTTTTTAGTGGCCTCCACGAGGACAGGAAGCCAGCAGATTGTCAAAGTTCCTCCCACCTCCACCCGGTGGAGGTGGTGGGTTTTTGTCGCCCGGTGTTGACCTTTTTTTTCTAAAGCAGATGTCTTTCTGAAGATGAGGTCTCCATGCTTGGATACAATAATTCAAGTGGCGGCACAGAGATTTCTACAGTTGCACAACTACGTTGTTTTCCATGAAGCCAGAGATAAGCAGACGAGGAGCCACAATAACGTGGCTGAAATATGTTGGCCAAACCACTCACTAGAAAGTGAAGGGACGACGACGTTTCGGTCCGTCCTGGACCATTCTCAAGTCGATTGTGAATGGTCCAGGACGGACCGAAACGTCGTCGTCCCTTCACTTTCTAGTGTGTGGTTTGGTCAACAAGTCAAAGATTCGGTTGACTGTTTCAAGAGTCTGGTTGGCTTTTTTTTCACGGCAGCTCCCACTTTTATGCAACTTTCAGTGATTGATGAATTCTGACTCCACAGTCCTTTTCTTCCTCAATCTGCGTCAGGTAATGTTGTGGATTTGGTAGTTGTGATGCGCATTGTAATGCCCCACATGCAAGGTCTTCCATTTTCGACATTAAAAAGACATTTGCCAGTATTCCGACCATTTGTGGAGTATCAGTATCAGTATGTGGAGCTCGGTATCATTTTCACATACATTATTAACCATACATTTTAGTGTCATCTGCAAATTTGATGATGTCGTTTGTAGTATTCTTATCTATGTCACTGATGTATATGACTAAAAGGGAGTTGGCCCCAAAATTTATCCTTGTGGTACCCCATTCACCACATTTCTCCAGTTAGATTCATTCCCGTTCTTTGTTCTGTTTTGTCCATTCCATTCTACCATTTATTCCATGTGCTTGTAATTCCGTCCTCACAATGAGCTTTTGAATCTTTTAGTTTGCCAATGCTCTTCTATTTCGCACGTTATGGGAAAATCCCTTAATTCACTCTCTTCATCTGCTTTAAACGTGTGGGCATTGATTAGTTTAGTTCATTTATTATACACCCCCTTACCCATCCTGTAGGCGATAGTGGAATGGGTTAATGAGGCACATAATGGGCTCAGGGATTGAACCTCAAAATTCATTTAGCTTAGCAAGTTACAGTTTAATGAGCTTGTTACAAAATTCAATGCACATCGTCACATCAACAATGGGCTCAAGACCGTCCACAAGTACAGTCATTGGTATGACTAGTCTATCTTATGTACTATAGTACATGTATAATCAATTTCAGTGTGATACTGCCGACCCCAGACGATGGATATATACTACTGGACTACAGTAAAAACCGCATTAATGATGAAGTTCTTGCACTATTGTTTGATTTGGTAAGTTCATACCCTAACTAGCCTCATGTTATCTATGAAAATAGAATTGTGTTTACAGTACAAGCTTACAGCTTGCACTGTCATGTGGTTCCCTTAATCTTACCATTATTCCTATAGTTTTTGGTTTCGCAATTACTACAATCACTGCAGCTAAACAATTACTCCTCAGTAAATAGTAAGCAACAATGTGCAGGGGGTAAGTTGATCTGATATTATTACAGATCATGTCTAGCACTGTTAAATAGCTCACTTGACCAAGTTATACAATTATTCGCGTATCTTTCATATCGATCCCTACACAGACTGTGTGTGTTTGCATAGCACATTTACATTTCAACATCCTGTTCTGCATTGATTAGCGCAATAATGATTCACAACAGATTGTGAATTCCATCCAGGGCGGGTGGAACGTTTGGGCACGTTTCCATGCACCTGAGACCTCAATTCACCTAGCAGTAAATAAGTATCTAGAGCTTTAGTTAACTGTTAATTGTGGATCTCATCGCAGCTGGCGGACTGATCAGCCATGACAGGTGGCGCAATATGGCTCAGGTAAGTCACTCGGCTCAATATTGTTTGGTCTGGCCAATAACTATAGTTGGATGACTGTTGACTAGGGAGATCACGATCAACCTTAATGGATTTGTAACTGTGCACTGTGTTAGATAATGTTCCAGTGGTCTGTCGGGCATTTCTCTACAGTGCTCGGATTGGCTGATAACCTCTATCTTGCATATTTCAACCAATCAGTGCTATATGCCGCTCCATCCCTGATTGGCTGAGATAAGTGATGTGATGTGCTTACCTATCAGTGACTACGAGGGAATGAGCTCAAGCTCTTTATGCCCCGACTCTTTGCAATTCATCCTTGGCGCGCAAATTCCTTCTCTCAACATTAACGTTTTAAATATATTTTTTTCTTAAAGTTGTGGATGGAATTGGCTTCAACAAAACCTTTTCCTTCACTGAATTCCACTTGCCAACCACCCAAACATGGAACGAGAATTTAACTTCCTTATATTATAGTTGCCATCTTTCTTACCCAATAAGGAATAACGATTAATGCTAAATGTGAAAATTGTATTTTGTAACTATACAAAACTAGTTAAATCATTGTTATATGACACACGACGATTCTCTCTCTCTTTCTTTAGATTTTTCACTAACGTAATACACCTACCTTTGTCGGGGGAGAGGGGGGGAGGTGGACAGACAGCCTGTGTATATATATACACGTTATAGGCTTATATTGAACACGGGAGACATCTGCCGTCACGCAGGGTGCAGTCGCACCTCTACAGATCTCCAGTATCAGCTCTTGATACTGGTAATGGCTCAAAAGGGCCACCACTTACGGGCTATTCATGCCCGTGCCACCTTTTGGGTGGCTTAATCTTCATCAATCAATCTTATATCGAAGTCCCTCAAGGTCAAACATCCTGACCCGTCCAGGATGCAACCCCACAACAAGCTGACTAAATCCTGGGTATATTTAGTGCTAGGTGGACAGAGGCATTAGGTGATAGGACATGTGCCCAACCATTTCTGTCCCGTCTGGGATTTCAATCTGAAATTAGTGATTGTGAGTCAATAGCTATACATATATAGGCCGAGACACTACCAACAAAATACCTCATCATATTTTAATAATTATGTTATATTTGCTACAGTTTAGCAGTAATAATCACTAGCTACAGAGGCCGCTTTCTACTAATACATAAAGATTGTCGAGCCTAGAGATTAAATATTAAGATATTAATATAGATTAAACAATTATTAGAGATTAAACAAGGCCCGAAATGCTATGCGTGCTAGTGGCTTTACAAGAATGTAAAATCAACTTAATTTCTATGTTCTCTGTTAACCCCCAATGTACCTTCTTGTATATAAATAAATAAATAAATAAATAAATAAATAAATAAATAAATATGTTACTCGCATAACACCACCAATATCACTTTTGTAGAAGCCTATATTTTACAACAAGATGTCTCAATATTCATTTTAATGGGCTGCTTTTAAACCATAACACAAAATAAAAATCTTCACAAGGGTCATTTTCTGTTACTCATGCCACATTTGTTGTATGATAAACTGGAATTACACTATAAGTTGGATGTTATTCATTTTCATTTTAATTAGTTGCAATATTATGCAGGCGAGAGCACGCAAGGTGGAGGCGTGGCGAGATGCAATGTTCTCAGGCAAGAAGATCAACGTGACTGAGGAGAGAGCCGTGCTACACACTGCCCTCCGTAACCGTGACAGCTTCCCCATCATCCTTGATGGTCAAGACCTCATGATACAAGTGAACTCTGTTCTTTCCCACATGAAGAACTTTTGTGACAGGGTAAGATGGATACATGTGGCTGATACACCAAGGCCAGGTGGAAACATGTTGGTGATACATCAAGGTAAGATGCATGTATACCACATATATGAGACCAGTCTCAATCATGGAGTATGCGGCCCCAGCATGGAGCCCGTACATTATTAAGCACAAGACGAAACTGGAGAAAAGTTCAGAAGTATGCCATTAGGGTAGTCCCAGAGCTAAGAGGCATGAGATGCGAGGAAAGGCTGCGTGAACCGCATCTCACGTCGCTAGAAGATAAGACCTAAGGGAGACATGATCACTACATACAAAATTCTCAGGGGAATTGACAGGGTAGACAAGGATGGATAATTTAACACTGGTGGTACATTCACTAGGGGACACAGATGGAAGCTGAGTACCCAAATGAGCCACAGAGACATTGGAAAGAACGTTTTCAGTGTCAGAGTAGTTAGTAAATGGAATGCATTAGGCAGTGATGTGGTGGAGGCTGACTCCATACACAGTTTCAAATGTAGATATCATAGAGCCTAGTAGGCTCAGGAACCTGTACACCAGTTGATTGACGGTTGAGAGGCGGGACCTAAGAGCCAAAGCTCAACCCCCGCAAGCACAAATAGGTGAGTACATGTAGGTGATAAGTCAAGGTAAAATATATACACGTAGGTGATACATCAAGGCAAGATGTATACATGTGGGTGATACATCAAGGTAAGATGTATACATGTAGGTGATACATCAAGGAAAGATGTATACATGTAGGCAGTACAGCAATATTTAAGAATACAGTATTATTATGATAAAATAACATGCAGATAGCAGATAAAATTGTTGCATTTCGAGCAATAATATAAAGATACGTTTAAGTTATATTTCATGTAGAAGAGTACATCTTACAAAAGAGTTTGTCATCAGTATATTCCTCGCTGAAAGTATTATATTCCCCTAGATGCTACGATATTAGTCAGCCCCATGAAGCAATGAAATATATTTAAGTACAATAAAGTACGTACTGTACTTGTACGTACGTACTGTACTTGTATGATTACAGTAAGTATAGTCAGGAATATAACATAACAAGGTCTCTGCCATAGTTCTACAGCCATAACAATAGCAGATTCTGTATAAGAATATATGGAACCTCAAGTGTCTTATATTTGTTCTTGCTTTACATTCTGAAAGTTATTATGAACAAAGATAAAGTTCTAGAATAGCTTCTTTGTTCTTCGCTTATAAACTGTAATTTAGCTTACTTTACAAACACATTAAAGTACAGTACAGTATATAAAATCAGATTTTACATTTATGTTATTTTAACGTAGATGGAAATATCATAGATTGCAAATTTGAAATATCTTCATCCCTGCCTGTTCGTAAAAGAATTTTTGTTTTGTTTGGCCATGGTACATTCCATTGACTGTTCTTGTTTTTCGTTTCAAGACTTGCTAGGTTTTAGGACTATGAGTCCTAAACCTAGCTACATGCAATAAAATTTAATGTATGCAATATAATAAATAATTTATTATGCAGTACAGTACTATATATGTTTTTTTTATCTCATAAAACATTTAATTTTTGGTTATTATTCAGGTTATTTCAGGTGAATGGAAAGGTTATACTGGAGAATCCATCACGGATGTAGTGAACATTGGTATTGGAGGCTCTGACCTTGGTCCATTAATGGTGACAGAGGCGCTCAAACCTTACGCTGTCGGACCAAATGTACACTTTGTCTCCAACATTGATGGATCACACATGGCGGAAACCCTCAAAGTAAGCTGTACATTTTCAGGAATATGCTTTACTTGGCTGCTCAGAATTCTTTAGCATTCAAATACGTGACATCACTAGCTGCATGTGTCTAGCTAATGATTATTGCAGAGTTTAAAAAGGTTATTGCAAGGGTTCTAAAAATTATTGTTACTGTCGTTTCCAATATCAGCACATAAACCCTGGGACAACGCTGTTCATCATTGCCTCCAAGACATTTACCACACAAGAAACCATTACCAATGCGACCTCTGCCAGAAACTGGCTCCTAGCCACTGCTAAACATGTGAGTATCATACCTGTGTGCTTTACACCTCCATATCTCAAACATTTTGCTACTGTATGAAATTGCTAATTAACTTCACCAAATAGAGATACTTTTGAATGTGCTAAACATGAAGAGAAGAATGATTTTGAATGCTGTATGTCAGATATGATGTGATACAGTATTGAATAATACAGTACTGTATACCAGAAATTTTAACTGAATTTACCTAGGGGGGCCACAATTTCTAGTGGACTCGATGGGGGCAAGATCACTTCTTTGAAAGGTCAAATGTAATGCATACAAGAGAAAACAGTTTTAATCTCAACAAGTCACAGTGTAATATAGAAAACAGATTGTTGATCAGACCACACACTAAAAATTGAAGGGACGACGACGTTTCGGTCCGTCCTGGACCATTCTCAAGTCGATTGTGAATGACTCACAATCGACTTGAGAATGGTCCAGGACGGACCGAAACGTCGTCGTCCCTTCAATTTCTAGTGTGTGGTCTGGTCAACATACTTCAGCCACGTTATTGTGACTCATCGCCTGCATAGAAAACAGATGCTTTTTCACCCATATGGTTATAAACTCATGGAATCTCCTACCTGCCAAAGATGAAAATGCCAAGACATTATTTGTTTAAAATTAGGTTTGAAAACATCCTTGGGAACAATGGGGAACTTTGACAAATTGCTGGTTTCCTATCTTCATCAAGGCTACTAATGACCCTCAGGTAAATTCAGTTAAGGTAAATAGATTTGGCTGGTAGGTGACTTCATGGGTTTATGACACTATAGGATAGGTGAAAAAACATGTGAGTGGAATTTACTGTGAAGCTTTATATAATAAAACTTTATGAATTAAATGAGGAATTTTAAATTTATAGTTGTTCACCATCCACATTGTTACTAAGTTATTTTATGTTTTGTCATTGATATTATTTGAATTCCTATCAGGTCTGAAATAAGTACGAAAATTAAATGTTACCTCTTCTTTTGTCAGGCTTCTGCTGTTGCAAAACATTTCGTAGCTCTGTCAACCAATGGTCTCAAAGTGAAAGAGTTTGGTATTGATGAGGCCAATATGTTTGAATTCTGGGATTGGGTTGGTGGCAGATACTCCCTCTGGTCTGCCATAGGCCTGTCCATTGCTCTCCATATTGGTTTTGCCAACTTTGAAAAACTGCTGTCTGGTGCTCACTTTATGGACATACATTTCAGAACTGCACCACTAGAGAAAAATGTAAGCAGTATTTTTGTAACATTCATTCTTTCCTTTGTTACAAAATTAGTTAGAATTATATTGCTAACATTTTTATAGTAAAAGGGGCATGCTTTATTAAAGAAGATTTTAAAGGGATTAGAAATTACAGGTCTCATAAACCGTAAAGATTATATTATGTATTAGCAACTCCTACCTACTTAGGTAAATGTTTGGTTAGAACAATTTTGATATGTAATTACATATATATTTCGAGTAATAATAACTACAATTTAATGATTATTTTTGGATTGTAATACTGGATATTTTTGCAGGTTCCTGTACTTCTGGGACTTGTGGGAGTGTGGTATCACAACTTCTATGGGGCTGAGACCCATGCCCTCCTGCCCTATGACCAGTACATGCATCGCTTTGCTGCCTATTTCCAACAGGGGGATATGGAGTCCAATGGAAAGTATGTGTTTGCTTAAATACTGTTAACTAAACTATTATATTAGGCACAGATTGCTGAACTGAACTCCAATTCTTATTGTCACATTACTTAGTTACTTCCAACTGATATAGTGAAACAGCTATTACCAAATAATTTCATTACTAATTAATGTACAGTAAATCAGTTTGATTAGAGATTTTTGCTCTTAAAGGCAAATGTATTCTCCAGAATTATCTGGTATTTCTACAAGGAATTATCTACCTCAGAAGCTGTAGAATTATATTATAAACCTACTATGAGATTTTCCTTTCTCCAAAAGTTATAGGATATATTTTGCCATTTCTGTAACCTATTCTATACAAAAAATAAATGCAGACTTGTATAATAATCTAATTACAGTATATTATTTATACTTATATATATATATTTTTTTTATATTATATTATATTATATTTATTTTTTATCTTATATATTTATATTATATTGTTTATACTTATATATATTACTTATAGTACTACATATACTATATTTAAATGTACAGTATCTTTGATATAAACATGACTCTGCCTTGTTTGTCATTCTGTTGACCCCAACAATCCTGGTTTGTGAGCTCACTCATTATAATTCTCGAAACATTCAGTACTTGGGCATAAAACCCAACCAAAAAGCAACACATTATTACACAGAAATAATTCTTATACCATCATGTATCCTACTTCTACACCACTATGTCTATAACTTAATGAGAAAGCATAATCTTTAGAGATAACTTTTGACTAAAAAAAAATTGGATGTAGAGTTACACCAAAATAAAAACAGACTATTTGTAGATGAAATTTCACCTATAAAGGTTTTATCAAGTCTAGCAAGATACACAGGGCTAATACTAATAAAGAGGGCAGGTCAATGAGGCAAAGGTGGGGATGAGGTGAGCAAGATGAGGGACTACATGTTATAATTTTTATTTTTACAGTACAGTACAGTACTATATTACAATTGTTAAATACCGTATTATGCCATGCTAATTTATTTTTTATTTTTGCAGATATGTAACACGTTGTGGGCGTCGCGTAGAATACAGCACAGGACCAGTTGTTTGGGGTGAACCAGGAACTAATGGTCAACATGCATTTTATCAGCTGATTCATCAAGGAACTCGCCTCATTCCGGCAGATTTCATTGCTCCTGTCAAGTCTCATAACCCAATTGCAGATAATCTTCATCATAAGGTTATTCATGAATGTAATGATGTAATTTATCCTGTACAGTATATGTTTTATGTTATACTGTATTGTGTCTTTCTCCCAATTTGCTTTGATTTATTCATATACCATTTCAGTTCAGTATTTTCCTTTTTACAGCTATCTTTCTGAACTAGCCCTCTTGGTTGCATCCTGAGCCATCACCCAGGATCCACCTAGGACACTGCACAAGCACCAGGCTCTCGGAGAAATTCACCCCATCATGGCAAGTTACTTTTCAAATTGTCTTGCCAGGTAATTAGTGATGGAGGATAGTGGGGAGTATTATCAATCCTTCACCAGAGCAACCACTTGCTAATATGCAAACAAAAACAAACATTCCAGTATTTTGATTCATCTGTGTGGGGTGCCAGCTCTGCAGAGACTAATTCAGTTAATTTTTTGTTTTACCCGAGATTTTCTCTAATTGCCGGGGTATCCATTATTTTAGAATATGCTTCACGAGGGCAACCAGTCATTGAGTGTCTCTTGCTATTGAATTATTGTATCTCGGGTCAGTTTAGCATCGGAGTAGTCTTAGAACTTCCTGAATGGGCTTTGTTTGGCACTGCCTTGCCCCAGGATGTAGTGGTTTGGCAGTTCCGTGTACAAGTTCCCTATTGTCTTCGGCCACTATAGACCTCTGCTCACACTTTTCTAAGTGATTTGGTACATTACCTCTACTCTGAGAAGTTGTTTACTGCTCAGTTGCTCTGATTTTCACCACCTGGTGAGTGGGTTCTGCTCCTGCCGTAAGGTATGCTTCATGCCGAGGCTTTGCTTAAGTACTGTAATTATAAAAAATGGGTGCCAACTCCTGGAAGACTATTTAGCACCATCTGTCACAAAGTCTTAAAACAATCCCTAGATATCATGCCGGATGCCAATATAAAAGAAAAAGACATAAGGATCATAGGATTTGAAGCATTAGACACTACAGTCATGAAAGCATTGAGAGTCAACCACAATAATAAATAAATGTTAGCACATGAAAATTGTCTTAAGAGTGTATAACTCCAACATAAAAAATACTTATATCTGGGGAGAGGCAACATGCCAAATACTAAAATAATACTAAATTTGCATTATCTAGCTGTCTTTCCCAGCATATTTCTGTGAGGGTTTGGTTTATTTGTTCCTAGTTAATCTGTTTATTAAAATTGAATTTGCTGAATTCCCCTCCTCTTGGATTTTAGACTGACTGCACAGGTCTATTGTCCATTGCAGCATTCCAAAAGATGAAGAAAAGACGACATTTCTGTCTATCCTGGACCATTATCAAGTCGATTGTCAATTGACTTGATAATGGTCCAGAACGGACCGAAACATCGTCGTCTCTTTGTGGCTTGGTCATCATATATTCAGCCACGTTATTGTGATTCATCATCAGCATCCCAAACTTGGTTATAGCGACTTGATTGGCAAAAGAAAAGAGCAGACTGAGGTTCAGAAAGCATAAAGGAGTAATTGTAGGAGTGTGGACGTGGCATCAAAAAGTCCTTAAGACAATACTTATGAGTAAGAAAGTCAGGGTGGAAGTAACAATCAGCGCTTATGGACAAGAAGTGCAAACTGAGCTCATTCATACCTAACACTGGCTCAGCAAAAGGATGATGAACAGGTTCTATACATCCAGAAACTTATTTGGCTGCAATCTTATGAATGATCCAGATATGGAAAAGATGGGTGCTAACACCAAAAGTGGAGACATAAGATCTCTAACTCTCCTATTTAGCTGTACAAGTGATCCTATGGGCCTCCTGCATTAGTCTTCCCAGGGTCTCTTTGTGGCTTGAGCTTAGTGAGGTTGGCAATCTCCTTTCACCTGGTTGTACTAGCTAATAATATTAGCTTGTGACAATCTTTTTAGGGGTGGTTGGTAGTTATGCATTTTCAGAGCATTTTTTTTTTACACGTGTGGATACATGAATACGAAACCAAAAAAATGTTAAGAGGCTTATAGCTTACCTTGCCCACAGCTCATCTTAAGTCTTACCTTACTAGATTACCCTGGCACATAACCTACCAAGTTCAAGTATGTTTATTGAGACAAGAATATACATCTCAAATGGATAGAGTAGCTTAGGCTATTCCTACATCTATTCCTATTCCTACCAATTGGTTTACAATTGATTTACAATCAGGTGCCGAATTACTGCTGGGTAAACAGAGAACAGCTAAGGCACAGTATCTAGTCAACTCTCCCTGTCCAAAATCACTTGCAAGGCATGAGCCAAGCATGCTGCCACTGTACCACAATACTGTAGTTGTTTGCAAGGGGTGTTGAGCAGTTTCACGTGTTTGTAGATGTCATAACAAATGATTTCTCTTAGTTGTAGAGTGAAAAATGCTATCCACTGTTTCTTGCCCATATACTTTGGAACAAGCCAACTTGAAAAGTTAACCGTCTCAGTTGGGCTCAAAGTTGCAGAGTCTGGCGTCTTAGCAGTGACCTGGGTTGACCCATGACCCTACCTCAGGTCAACAACCATGGAGCAACTCAGAAAAGATACCAGCATTCCATTAAGCTATATAATTTTTCCTTGTTGACTTATCACACTATATATATTAATGCATTAGAATTGCTCTTTTTGCCTTCAAATGTTTATTAGCAAGATTAAAAACTCATCATAGTTTTACTCCACATATTGTAATACAGAATATTTTAAATTTAAGTGTTCGTTAGGAAAGCAGCAGCTTACAGTACTGTTAGAGCAAGTTTGACGCCCTTAATTTTGATGATCAAGATATGTTTATTAATAGTTTTAAATATTTTCAAATTAAGGTACAGTATACTACAACTCAAATTTTTTTTATTGTTCACTTGGCAGCTGCTCCTGGCAAACTTCCTGGCACAAACTGAAGCTCTAATGAAAGGAAAGACGAGGGAAGAAGCTAAGGCAGACTTAGAAAAAGCACAAGTGCCAGATGACGTCCAAAAACGCATCTTGCCTCATAAAGTGTTCGAAGGCAATCGCCCATCAAACTCTATCATGGTAGAAAGAATTACTCCATTTACTTTGGGAGCACTAATTGCCATGTATGAACATAAGATCTTTACACAGGGTGTCATCTGGGACATCAACTCCTTCGACCAATGGGGGTAAGAATGTATGTTGACATCAGTATTATCACAACTCTTAATTTCATTATTATGCAGGAGGCATTACATCAGCTGACTGCTGAAACTACCTACCTTACTGATCAGGATCAGGCAATTGCCACAGAATTTTTGTTATGATCAAAGTACCACAGATAAGGTAATTGTCCAGCCCGTCCTCTTACAAATTACGTCACTTTTCATCCATATGCGTTACGGCCAAAATTCACCATATTAGAATTTAAATAAAAAAAAAAATGGAAATTCATTTTCCAAATGAAATGGACTCAAAGCAGCAAGTTTTGGGTCTTCTAGTAGGTTAGGAGAGCAGCAAGTTCTCTCAAGATTTCAAAATGTTATAAAAACCATGAATTTAGAGTCTTCGCCTAACTTAACAGACGAAGCCAGAGGATCCAAAACAGAAAACAGGGCAGTATGTTACTTTCGCAAGCTGCTTTCATTGTCTAGTACAATTCGGTGTTTTTTAGCCTTAGTGTGCATACGAGTGAAAAGCACTGTAATTTATAAGAGGCCAGGTTGAATTGTCTGGAGAAAGTGCTAAACCATTACAATTATATAGTGCTTGGAAGGGAAAGTGCCTCAGGAAGTAAAAACTGTAGTAAAAAGGATCAATCAAAGCTTAGGAATAATCAAATTAAGTTTTGATTGTAAGGAAAAGGTGGTGGTCACTCATCCATATAAACTCCTTGTGCTTCCTTACTTGGACAACTATCCAAACATGGATATTCACTTAAAGACATAACTGCACTGGAAATGTTTTGGTACAGAACAATGAAAATCATCTCTGAACTAAGTCAACTCGTTCCACGAAAGGTTTAGGGCCTCAGGTTTAACAACTCTGCAAACAAGACATGTTAGAGCTGAACTCACCGAGACCTTCAAGATACTGGACAAAATAGAAAACATTAATCCAGACCACACCTTTAAAATATCCCATGTAACACTCATAAGTGACAACAGCTTCAAGCAACAACATAGGGCAGACAATTGGAGACACATTTTCACACAGGGATGAACAGGTTCTGAACAACTACAGATGCTTGCCTTTAGGTTGCACAGATGATAGTTGTTAAAATTATGCTGGTGTATTTTGCTAGGAATGCAAGTTTTGCCACTTAATGCTGGATTGCATAATTCAGGTAAACATTACCAGTTTCCAATGTCATTTGATCATCCTATTAAATTTAAAATTATTTTCTTCACTCATTTTGTTAATTAATTGTTCATATTTCTGACATGTTCACAGGGTGGAACTTGGTAAGCAGTTAGCAAAAGCTATTGAACCAGAGCTTCAAGATAATAATACAGTGTCATCACACGATTCTTCTACAAATGGACTAATGAATTTCATCAAATCATACTTTTAAATTTTAAAGATTTGTTTAAAGATTTTTTGTTTTCCTTCTGTGTTTGAACAAGAAAAGATTTGAAGTGTTTATTGTTGAACAAGTGGGATACAGATTTTATAATGTATACATACTGTATTTCATTATACAGAACATAGGTATTTCAGAACTTGGGTGAATTTTTCTAAAATGTACAACAAATTATTCTGCATAAAACACAATAGCTAATTATTCTACATGTATATCAACTGTTACATTTCAAACAAACTCTAGCAGCCAACCACGCTATGTTTATGTTTATCTTCTTTCCTTGGAAGGAAGATGCACTGATTACGTGGAAAGAAATATTTAACTTGTTCTCTATTTAAAATGAATAGAAAATTGGAGCAACTATAATGAATTCTTGATAGTTGCAGCCAATTCTACCATCATCATCATCTGGTGTATGATGGATGGGCATAGTAGTGAGGAAGTTTAAGACACACGGTATGAGTGAACGATGTGTAAGAGACGAGGTGCATTACACATGTGATATGGGCATGTTAATAGAATGCCCTAAAACAGTTTAGTGAAGAGGGTGTTTTTGGGTTAAATAAAGGAATTGTATGGTAGAGGCAGTCAAATGGTATCATGGAATAAGTAGAGTGGAACAGTATATGAAAGAAAGGGGAGGGATAAGACCTTGAAAGTGAAAGGTTATGGGGTGATAAGAGCCTCCTCGAGAAACTTTTGCTTTGATCATCTCCGAGTAAGGGGCAGTCTACGTCTCGGTAGATTTCATTGTTTGATATACAGGATTATGTTTGATGACATTGTGACAGTAATTATTGCATTAGGCCTCATACTGAGGACCATTAATCATGTGTGCACCTTAGTGAGGCTTGGCACTCTAGTGACCACACACAGGTCAAGAAGTGTGCATGAAGTAGAGATATTTGCTCATCTCCAGACATGTTTCATGAACTGAGTGACCTTGTAATTGACAATCCACAAGCTACTCTAGGAGCCATACTCGTGTAAATACATACCTGATACTGTTCATAATTCTGATATTTTTGGTAGAGCACATTTATATTGACAAATTGAGCTATTTCTTCATAAACAGTACACATATATTGTGCTCAGTGTTATGTAACTTATTTATATTAAATAAAAAAATCAAGGGTGTTTGCAATAGTCCTCTCTTCCAATTCTGTGATTTGACTAGGCCTGCCAGGCCTAATGTCATATAATGCGACTCCTTCCCCAAACTAATCCATTCCAATATGCGATGGATTAGTGTTTCATCTGCAACACTAGTGCAGATAGTGTTTCAAGAAAAACTATTAGACTAAGGCCTAAGATAAGCTGAGGGAAGGGAAAATGCTAAGCCTAATAACAGGAATCAAAATTTATCTGCTTTATCAGATATCAGACTATCTGATCTGTTAACTATAAATAGTTATCAGACTATTTATATAGTCTGAGAAAGCACTGAAAAACAAAAACCAATACTGTACATACCAATATATATATATATATATATTGGCACCTCTCTAGAAGGGAAGACAAATAAGCAACTTAACCCCAAGCTGCTAAGGGCTATTTGGCCTTTGTCAAAAGGCCAAATCCAATTGGGACGTGTCAAAAAATTCTTATAAACCTGTTAGTGTGTGTGTGCCCTGATCACAGGAAAAATAATAAAAAAAATCCTAAGTGTCATATTTTGGCCGCAATAGGGCGGGGAAGTCTGGCGAAAAGGAGGCGCTGACAGATCATGCGTCAGAGGCGGTCTGGTCTGTCCCAGCTGTCACGCGGGTGTTGCCACAAAGATGATATTACCGTGTGAATCATCGTTGTACTCAAAATTATAGTGTGCATATTATTGATTTAATTATGTTCATAAAACAATAAACAAATATTTTTGCAGTTATTACACTATATACACAGGTTATAAGTATCTGCATGTTTTGTTCACCATAACGAACCACTAAGTTGATATTGTGAGTCAAAAAGCAACAAAGAGTGGCCAGCACACACCAGCCAGCCACTCGCTACCACTCCCTCCCTCAAAAACTCCTCACTCGCAAACATCCTCCTCCCACCATACTGTTTTTGCTTTTATTTACTACATACAGACATATGTAAGTATCTACATGTTTTGTTCACCATAACTGTTCATCTAAGCTGGCATAGTGCACAAAGAACATAGTGGCCACTTACACAGAATGACAAGTCAGGAAGATAATGCCACCTCCCTCACCAAATGGCTTCTCCCAACACTTCTTTTGCTGTTATTACACTATATATGCACATTATATATAAGTATCTACATTTGTGTTCACCATAGCGAACCACTAAGCTTGTATGGTGACGGCAGACAGTAGCAGGTGGCCACACACAACTGATGTTCCCTCCCTCCCTCAATGGTTCAAGGCCAGATGCACTAACATTCCTCCTTCCAGTATACTGTGTGTGTTGTTATTACACTATATAGACATTATTTATAAGCATCTACATGTTTTGTTCACCATAACTGTTCAACTAAGCTGGTACAATGCCCAAAGGTCATGCTGTGTAAGGGTGGCCACTATGCTAAGTCATACAGATGTCGCCACCTCTCACCAAAATGGCTTCTCCCAATACTCCTTTTGATATTACACTATACACATTATATGTAAGTGTTTACATTTTTGTTCACTATAACAAACCACTAAGTAGGTATGCCGAGTCAAACAGCAGCAAGGAGTAGGCACCACACACCAGCCAGCCACTGGCCGCCACGCCCTCCCTCACCTTACCTCACTCGCCAACATTCTCCTCCCACCATACTGGTTTTTGCTTTTATTCACTATATACAGACGTTATATACAAGTATCTGCATGTTTTGTTCACCATAGTGAATCACTAAGTTGGTAGAGCAAGTGCAAAGAGCAACAGGTGGGCACACAGATTCGGCAGACTACGCTACAGCCCTCCCACTCTCAACATTACTCCTCCCACAGCACAGTGCAAATTATCACAATCCTGGTCATTTATATCACAGGCAGGGATCTTCTGTAATACTATCATTACTAAATAATATCAGTTACATATATTTCTGGCATTTTTAGGCAATGCTGTGGTCACAAGCTGAACAGCAATGCTGTGAGCATCAGCCTTGGTTGTTCGCCAAGTACTGAGGCTCTCACACCCGAGAATTTTGCCTGTGACTTAAAAAAAATGGCGTCTGTTTACAAGAGCCCCGAGGAAGGTGATGTGAACCCCATGTATCTGTGGGCTGTTTAAATATTGCGTAGTACTCTAAAACTGCATATGCAGTGATGCGCACTTTTGCATCAGTTACTCAAAACTTCATATGCAGTTTTGCGCAGTTTAAGGGTTAAAAACAGCAATTAGCTAATTGCAGGGCAGTTGAACAAAAACAAACTATTCTAAATTGTATTTATTCCCAAGGAATAATTATTATACCTTTACAGTAGTTATCATAAGTATCTACAACTTTTGAAATGTTCTCTTCAGTTATCTATGTACATTAAACATCATTTGCATTTCAACACACAAAAACGCTCCCCTACGTTAGTTGTGCTTTCTGTCACTACTCTCAAAGGTCTCTGCTATTTTTCATGCCAACTGTTACAAATGCTAAAGAATCAGACCTACACTTAAGATATGAATGAAATCAATCCAGAAAACAGTTTTTCATCATCACAATCCTAATTAAATTAAAACAATAAAATTAAGACAAGTGCATAATTAATGACATACAATAATATTTACTATGAATATAAATTCTGGTCCACTATACAAGCCGTTGGATGGGGAAGAGAGTTGGCAATTGTGATGTAATGGATTGTAGACGCCAAGTACAGTACTATAACCATTGAGTTTACAGCACACCCTCATGTAGGCACTTTATCTTCTTTACAACTGATCCACGTACGGCACTTTACCAATACTTCCCACTGCACTCATGCTTAGCTTGCCTGCTAATACTTTTCCAAGTGCCTAGAAAGAAAAAACGGAAATTAATATTAAAAAAAAAAAAAAATGATGGCAACGGCTCTGACCTGGCACCTGACAGTGGAATTGTATCTGTACTCAACATTTGTAAGCTTCATAATTCTACAGCATAGTCCTATAAAATAACATCAACATTAATATAACAAAAATGTCTTAAGGAATTTCTTGACAACTACAAAAACATAACTGCAGGTCAAGTTAAATAAAATTAAGTATCCCATTAGCCATCATCTCTCAATAGAAAAAAGCAGAGGAAATTGCTGTGGTTGACAGTAATGGCTAAAGTGGAACTGGTAGTGGTGGAAGGAACGGATGATGGGTCACAGACTTTTTAGCCACTCACCCAGCAGTAAGTGGGGACCCAATTGTAAGCCGATTGGCGGACTGTGTTCCAGAGATTAAAATGAACTGCGAGAGGAAGAACTCTAAACCTACTGCTAACAAGTTGCATGTTATCCTCCCCTACACCCATGTAAAAAAAAAAAAAAAAAAAAAAAAAAAAAAAAAAAAAAAAGTCGATATTTTACCGACAGTGGTCCTGCAAAAATTAGGTAAATATGACACATTGGTACACCACCAATATAGGTAACACAATAGCTTCACACCAATCATTTGGCACCTCACTCTCCAGTTACACCATCTGATATATATATAACAAACACATCCTCCAACACCTCCCCCCACCATACACAAACATATCCTGTTATTTCATCTGTATTGGGAACCTTTATCTTGTTTCCACTCTAATTTTCCTCTAGCCATCCTTTGATTCCATTGGATTACTTCACTCCAGTACACTCCACTCCACTCATTTAATAACATTCAGTACTGCCTCCACCATTTGAAATCATTATTCTTAAAGAAAGAGTTCTATGGCTGTAACACCTGTTCACTCCAGCCACCATTGTAAAGATCTTGATAAATTATTAACGAAAAACCAGCATTGTATGTAATGAAACGCCATTTTCTGGGTGTGACCCGGAGGATCCCCGTAGCTACCCGGGATGATATGGATATATTAGCTTTCAGGCATCAGTCAAAGTGCATCGAGTTCGGGCCTACTGGGGACCACGAGCCAGAACCTGGTCCCCTCAGAGAGGTACGGGGAGCAATGGCCTATAGAAACTCCCGTGTGGTTTGAAGCATTCTATGTTTGCCATCAACCGGGTCAGGCACCCCAAAACAAACCCCTATTCTAGTGAAAATATTGCTACCAAAAGCCAAACGAGTGGACAGAACTCCCTAAATAAAAATGAGCAAACTAGCATGTTATGTTGCCACGCCACCATCTGCGCACACCCCCCCTCCCACCTCGGGAAGGGAAAGCCCAAGACCCTTGCACCAGCGATCTACCTCTCAGTTCTTAGGCTGGATGTCAAAACATGCGAAAACACTGCCGACTGGAGGGAGGGAGGGAGGGTTGCCCGGGAGCCTCCGGGTCACACCCAGAAAATGGCTTTTCATTACATTCAACACTGGTTTTTTGGGGGAAGCCCCATCAGCTCCCCGGAGCTACCTGACCAAAGATAAGGAAAGAGATACAAACCCGGGAGACAGACACCACGCACCCTAAACTAGAAGCAAGACAACCGGTAACGCCGAATGACCCTGCAGACGACCTGGGACATCCGAACCCTGGAACAGGGAAGAAGGGAACCTGGGCAACCCAAAGCATGCCCACGGCCACATAGACCATGGCGCGCAGGCAACAGCGGAAAGCCGCAACCGGACACAACAATGATGCATCCCGGCCTGACAAACTAAGCATCAACAACCAAGGACCCCTCCGGAAAGCAGCAGACTCATTCTTCACCAGAAAAGGAGACAGCTGCAAACGACCAAACCTACCACCAAGAAAAATGAGCAGAAACCTCTGTGCCAGAGGAGCATGAAGCTCCCAGGCCCGACCCCCAGAGGTCAATGCCAACAGGAAAAAGAGAGAGCCTTAGAAAAACAATCCTGAACCAAAGGGGCCATTACAAACGAAGGAGAGAAAGAGAGAGCACCCTGTCTAACGACCAGGACGGCTCGGGTAGAGCATGAGCAGGCCGGAGGTGAAACAACACACGAAACAGCTTGTAGAATGGAGCCGAAGCAACAGCAATACCAAACGTAAGCTGCAGCGGCTCCACCAGCACTGCATGATACGAGACGACAATATTCGGCATTAGATGACAGTCTTGAAACAACCCTGAAGGAAGGACAAGACAACCCTAGCAGAGAGATCGAAGGACACCTACGAAGAGATAGGAATATATAACGGAAGGACCGCCAGGAACCTCACTGGCACAGAGACGAAGCACGCAGGTGGGAACCATCAACTGATCCACTAACGCTCCATACAAGTGATGTCAGACTTGAGTCAGGAGACCAGACGTGAAGACTCGAGGAGAAGAGCAAACCAGTCACGAACCAGGCCGGACCGATCTGTTGAAAAAGGCGGAGCCGCAGGAAGACCCTTTGGTTCGCACACCAAGCAAGCAGCGCCTGAAACAAAGACTGGGCCAGCCACCAAGGAGCCAGAAGGACAACTCTTCCCTGGTAAGTCTCCAAGCGAGCCAGGACCTGGAACAACAGCTGAACCGGGAGGAAGAGGTACAGGGAACCCCTCCTTGCTCAGTCCTCCCTGAAGGCATCGATCCCGACGGCCTCGCAGTCGGGGAAGGGTGCCACATATACCAGAAGACAACTCTACTACTCCGATGCAAAAAGGGCCAACTCCGGAGTCCCAAAAGTCTGGCAGAGACTATTGAACGAGTTGGCGTCGGCCATCCATTCCATGGAGAGAGGAATGAACCGTGACAGGCCGCCCGATAAGTCTCTGGCTAGCAGACAAGAGGACTGGCTGGGAGCCCAAACCAGCCAGTTGTCGAGGTAGGCCAACACCTGAACACCTAAGAGACGCAGACGGGCCACAACGACCTGTGTAAGGCGTGTGAACACACGAGGTGCCAGGTTCAACCCGAACGGGAGACAACGAAAGTGGTAACCCTGATGCCCCACAACAAAACCGAGCCAGTCCCTGAACCCCAGATGAATTTATGGGATATTCATGCCCATGCCACCTCTTGGGTGGCTTAATCTTTATTAATCAATCAATCCAGATGAATCGCGACTTGCCAATAAGCGTCCTGGAGGTCCAGGGACATCAAGAGCCTGGCGCCAAAAGGAGCCGAACCTGGGACAGCATAGCCATCCAAAAGGAGGGGCAATGAACCTAGGGGTAGAGACGGGACAAGTCCATTATGAACCGCAGGTCCGCACAGTCCTGTTTTGGTACTGGGAACAGACGGGAAACCCATCCGAGGGACGTTGTCGTTTTGACCATGCCCAAGTGAACCCACTCCAAGATGACCCAACACCGCAGGGGAAGAGGAATGCGCTCGAACCCCCCAAAGCCACCGCAGACCAAAGGAAACGACCCGAAACGCCCACACATCGCAGGACCAGGCATGAGCGAACAGCGCAAGCCACCCCCCAATCGCCCCATCAATAGAGCGAATTGCTAAAGGGCCTGCACCCCTTACAAGACCCAGAACCACGCATAGAGCGAAAACCGCGCTGACCAGATGAAAGCGGCGCCAGACCCGAAACTGGCACCTGTGTTGACCAGACCACACACTAGAAATTGAAGGGACGACGACGTTTCGGTCCGTCCTGGACCATTCTCAAGTCGATTGTGTCAACATACTTCAGCCACGTTATTGTGACTCATCGCCTGCATCTGGCACCTGTGACCTACCTTGACGAGAGGAGTCCCAGCACAACCCCTCAGGGAAGGCCCCCCCCACCCCGCTATCCCCAGAGAACCAACAAGTCAGACATAAGGCGACAAGTCGCTGAAGCAGCTTGTATATACTGCGCCACGACAAATTCCTCAAAAAGGTAAAGACATCCTAAGAGCCAGGGACCCAGGCTGATTCCAGAGAGAAGGCATGCACCGCCTGCTGACACGCGAGCCGGGAAGCATAAAACAGCGAAACCGTATCCCGCAAGATCAGTGCAAAGAGCTTCAACAAGGCAGCCACCGAGCCCAAGGCACCGGACCCAGGAACAGCCCCAAGTGTCCCCACATCCTCTTGAAGCCAGTCCGAAGACAGCTCCAGGAGGGAAAAGAAACGCAAGGCCGAAGCCAAAAGGCCCCAGATGCGCAAGTCCTCAGCAACCTGTTTAGCAGAAAGGGAGGAAACCTGCACATGGAGCTGCACGACGCCAACATTCCGAGAAAGGGCAGAGGGCAAACAGGCACTCATTGAGGTGCTCAAGGTCACCCCCAGGAAAAACCTGAACCACCGTCGATGCCTCGCGCCACTCTAGTGTGCTGGAATGACAGAAGGAATACCAAGCCTCCAAGGCAAACACAGGACAGTCCGCCAGCCAGGACGACTCAGAAACCCTGTAACGGACCCAGTAAGGGAACGAAATCCCAAACCCTGAAAGACAACGGATCCATCACCGAAGAGTAATCAGGGTTACGCAGGAGGTAAGCCGCAAGGGCCGCCCACACCGCAGATGGTAGGATGCGGTAAGCCGAGAACCTCCAGAAAGATGGAACCGACCCAGCCGGGGGAACACAGAACCGAACCTAGGGAGGGGCAGACACCAAATCCAACTCGTACACAGAGGGAGGGGAAAAAAAAAAGAGAGCCCCACTCCTTGTAACAATAAGCCCCGCTCAGAGGGCAGAAAAACCCAGACGGGGTCCAAGGCCTGCAAGTCAGCCCCTCCCCCGCCCCAGCATCCTCCTCCGCAGGACCCAGGGCCAAGTCACCTCCAAAGCACCGGCCTCTAAAGAAAAGGCCAGTGCAGCCGTGTAAGTCAGACCCGGAGGCTTTGGCTGAGAGATCGAACTCTAAAGCCTCCATCCTCGCACCGGAAGGGACATCCACCAAGACCGCCCGAGTCTCAAGACCATCGAAACCCTGCCCCAACTCTGAAACCCTCAGACGTTTCGGAGCCGGAAGGAGGGAAAGGGGGGGGGGGGGCGCCAGAATGAACCACAACAGGGAAAGGACGAAGGGGTGCGGACTGAACTAAGGTCGAAGCGACCCCACCCCCAAGTCTGGGTCCCTATAAGCAAAACAGTGCAGCCTTGGGGCATCCGGGTGAGTAAGCAACAGAGCGCGCTGCAACAACCTAAAGTGCACATGCAATACCTGCGCCGCCTGTACCCATAGAAAATCATTATTAGACTGTGTAAACTGAGTCACCAGCAAGCAACAGAACTCGCAGGACTCTTGGGTCAAAAGTGTCACTGACCCAACAGGAATTGTGACGGAGGCAAAAACAGCGAGTCACTCCGAGACAAGAGGACCGAGCAACCCTCTAACTCGCACGAAGCGAGGGGAGACTCTGGGGTTACATCCATCAGACCTATGCACCCCCGTGGGGTTTCCCAGGGTCCTGAGACAGAACTCTCAGTCAAGACATTATGATTCTTATGGTTAGCTCATAAGGATGACAAAAACTTAATATAATACACAAAAGTGACAAATGACTTACTGCTTGCACTGAAGTAGATGTAACACCATCAATGGCTGCAGCTGCTGCAATAGGGCTAATGAACTGGCCTGTTAAAAGTGCCTGTAGACCCATATCTTCTATGCTCTCACCTGTAAAAATGAGGATTATACTATATAAACAGGCATGAAACAACTGCAACATTTTTAAACATTTATAATAAAAAAATGTGAAATGTACGAAATGCCAGATTGTTAGGGTTGGTTGATAAAACTGAAGGTGGCGAATATGGAGCTTGAGATCATCAACCATGTTATTCTCATTTGAGTAATTATGACAAGTATTTAATCCATGTAAGTGGACTAAATATATCATTAAAGTGCCTTTGTCCAAGGTAGGAAGACAGGTCAAGCAAGTACATCACGACTTCCTTGATGACAACCATAGAGGGAGACAGTCAATGGGGAGCTGGTCACATGTGGTGACTGTTACGATCCAGTTATATCAAATTGAATGAATAACAATAGTAATGTATTTAGAAGTAAGATGATAGCTATTAAGCCTTTTTATCCATTAAGATGAAATAAAGATGCTATGGTTCATGACTTTTACAATGTCTGTGACCATAAAGGAGTAATGGAAGTATTTATGTATCATTGTACGTAATGTCTTTTATTCAATTTTGGTATGGATGTATGTAACCGCACGCAAGAGCACCATTTTTGAAGTTAAGTGGTACTATGAACTTGTGGGACTGGAACTTGAGGCAAGAGGCAGGATGTGTGATCAAAGGAATACCAACTCTGTCAAATGAGTGAATTGAATGAGAAGTTTGCTTGATGTTTCCCTGGCCCAGAGATGTGTTGCAGAGTTCTGGAGTCATACATTTTAAGTGTGGGTGAATGCAGTTAAGTCTAAGTATATTTTAACATCCTATGTAATGTTTAGTACAAGTGGAAATTTCCATGCTTGAGGGGAACCATGAGTCACTCAACACACACAGACATGCGGCCTATTGCCATTTCACATCGTGTTCACTTACAGTAATCATGTGTACCTGATCATGTTCAGTTAGGAACCTACAGTATATAGTAAGTTATTCATATACCCACCACTTGTGATGGTATGTTCATTGTTTGGTCTTGATTAGGAGTATAAGGTACTCAGATCTTGTGCATGTGGCATGAGGCTAGTTTGGGCAGGCCAACCACCAGATTTGTTAGAGAAACATGTTTAGATGCAAGGCAATTCAATGGTACCAATTCATTAACTTCTCTTTGTTGAACCAATAATTACCAGCCTTGTGATACTTAGCTTTTCTAAGTAAATGAATGAAGGGTTGAGAGATTTAGGAGATATAGTTTAGTAGTAAAGTAACTAGGCCTAAGCACATCTCATCCACACACAGGCCCCCATGCATTCAAAGAGCACACTTTTGAGTCAGTTGGTCTCGGGACGGCATGGAGTGTAGAGGAATAGTCCAGTGATCTCTTGAGAGCAAGTGCTCCCTTAAGTTAAGTTGGTCTCTTGTTCAGTATAACTAAGATAGTTTAGGTTATTCATTTGTGTTGGACAGTGGAGTGTATTAGCCATTAATGTTGATTACTGTTACTAGAATTGTTACCCGACTTTGCCCTCAACACTGGACAAGTCATGTGTTAGTATCTTAAGTGTGTGACTGACTGTCGACTATTGTATGTGGGGATCTGTAAATACACTGGTGAAGTTTTAGTTCACGTTTAAATTGTCCTTTCCCAGTTTCTAGTGTCAGAGTACTGAGTGGGGGGAAGGGGGTAGCGGCAGTTAGGGGTTACTAAACTATTTCACGAGCCGTATTTTGACAACACACAACAGTGACAGAAGACATCGCTGCCACAGTAGGGCAGTGAAGGGAAGGTGATAGTCAGGGTGATCAGGGAGTGGTGAAACCAGTGTGGAGCCAACAACCAATGTAGAGGGTCAAGAAAAGCGAGGAAGGGTAAGGATCTGGAACAGCAGTCTATGCAAGAAAACTAGGGAGCTCTCCCATCGATAAAAAAAAAAAAAAAAAAATCTTACATGGGGGTATGACTTGGAAAATGGTTTATATTCTGGATTTAGAGACCAGGATTATGATGATAATAGCAGCACTGTAGCTTGAGTTAGTAATGTGCACAGCATATTGGGAGGCATTTTGCTCTGTTAGGTAGCACTGTCACTTGACTAGTGTGGGGCAATGCTGTGCTTGGATGCGAGATTACCACACCCACCAGCACTCCTTAGTGGTTAGTTATGGTGCATAAAATTGTAGTTCTAACATGTGTATAATATTGCACATATATTGACAAATATATGTGTATACCTGTACTCTACATATTCTGTGACATAACTTTGATAGATCAATATCATTACACTTCAAAAAAAAAATTGCAAAACATTAAAAATACATACAAAATATAATACATTGAATACATTCAATGAATGCAGTTCCAACTTTTTGCAAAATATGCAGGATTAGGTTGAGCTCTGATCACTAGTTATGATACTATTACATCCACCAGAACTACTGGTGGTTCATAAAATTATAGCTAATTACAGTATATAAGAGCAAAAACAGTTTTATTGTTTGAAGAATACAATATTGTGCCCATATTAGATACTCTAATATATTTGAACAAACCGATGTTCCACAAATTGTGTTACATAAATTTCTCAAATGATACACTATTGAATAATATTACTGTAAAAAACTGAAAAAAATTCAAGAGATACTGAAATAAGTGTAAAAATATATTTGCAGTAACTCGCCTGGCCTGGGGCGATTGCTCAATGAACGCTCGTGAATCGTGTTATCACAAGCTTTCTGTGGTCCACCACAGTGTCTTTTTTTGTATTATTTTTTCCCCTGAGGTTAAAGGGGAATATTATTACATTACAGTTGTTGAATCCGAGGCATTCAAGACAAAGTTTGCAAAAGACATAGTAATTCAGAAATGTTAACAGCCCATTTTGGGAAATATGTTAACATGTTGAAAGGCAAGGCATTAAGGAAAAAGAAAAAAACATTAAGCAGAAAAGAACATACAGCATTGTGTATGTTACTCAATGCTCAACCGAGTTATGAAATACTGTTTTGTACTGACCTCCTGACTCTGAAGCCATAAGGAGGGCAGCCTTGACCCGGTTCTTGCCAGCAGCAACCTGTGCATCTGACACCTTCAGTTTCTTTAGTGTGTCATGTACTGTACCAACAACCTGAAAATATTGAAATGACAAGTCAATATAAGTGTACCATACTGTGAAATAATTGTGCATTTTTCATTAAAAGTATGGAACTTGCCACATGTTAGACTATGTCGACCACATTGCTGCTAAATAGGACCACAGGATTTATACCAAAAAAGATGAAACACCCAAGTATCCTATCCTTGGTCAGAAGAGAGACTTTACAATCCCAATTCAACTGCTCTCTAGGTCAATGAAGCATTAAATTAATATTTTTGGAGACATGGTCCCATCTGTACTCAAAATAATACTTGTGGCACCACTTTTATGCAGTAGGAAAATCCACCCCATATGAGGATGTGGAATTACAATTCTGCTTAATAATTTTCTCCTAATGCAAGGGGGGAATGAAAGAATGCCATTTCAACCCTATTTACAAAAGATTAGGATAAAAGGCTGACAAGTTAAGACATTAAGGTATCTGGTTCTAAGAGTAACAACATATTGGACATTCACCTTATCAACAGATGAAGGATCAGCAATGACAAAGTAGCCAAACAAGCCTGCATCACTGTAATTAATGTTAATTGCCGATGCCATACCAATACCACCAGAAGCTGCCACAGCTTTAGAAAGCACACTGCCAGCATTACTTCCATACTTTGTGCCTGGGCCAACCCCAAGAATGTACTGAGCTACAGCCAGGGATGCTGCATCACTGCTGCCAATGCTGAAAAAAGTAATGATTAATTCAACATTATTTAGATTGTACTTTTTAGTCAAAATATATACAAGTTCAGTATAAGCAAGAGAAGCATTGCAAAAATGTAGGTGATCTTTGTAATTATATATTTTTATCACACCAATTGTATGTTGCAAATTCTGTTTAGTATATGATATGGAAGGACAGAGAAACAAAGAAAAGGCATGTCAAATAGAAAGTTATAATTTTCAGGTACATGAATATTTAATCTAAAGTGAAGATGCATGAAATACTTGTTGCTGCTGCTGCTCCCATGGGGAACTTCACCATGGAGCTTAAACTTCTTACACAGGATACCGTTTGCCAGCGTCTTAATTTAAGCCATAAATACAGTAATATCCAAATAAGCCCCATGTTTAGGACCTATAGCAATTCTGACAAAGGATTCATACCTATGAACTTATTAAAACAAATTCACCTCATCTCTCGCTGTCAAAGTTTATCATGATTATAACTCCATTTCCATTTATGAAAGGATGAGACAGCATCAGCTTGGAGGAAAACATGAACAATTAATAAATCATTTTAAACAAAATATCATACCTGGCCCCTTCACCAGCCACAGCAACAACTGTAACAGCCGCTCCAGTCTCTTGACGAATTTCGCCACCACCATATGCTGCAGAACCAGCCACGTCTTCCCCTTTAGGCAAACCCAAGCTGCTGGCATACGAAACCAAGGCATCGTGGTCGACACCCAAACCAACAACTGCCATGCGATTCGCCAAGTGGGTGGAAGCCAAATAACTGCTCAGCTGTCACGAATAATAAAACGGTAAGGGCTCTTACATGACCATCGCAAATATTCTTAGTAATTTTTATCCTCAAAAGTACTCCTGAATCTACAGAAATCTAAGATGCATGTCAGTTACGTGTGTCTCAGCACCCTATTGAAATGAGAATAATAAATGTGGTTGGTGATAACAATGTATCTGCTACATTATTTTCAATTACTGGTCAAGTCGCCATGTAAATGCCATCACTATGCATTTATTACATCAAGACTTGATTCAGTATAAACAGCAACTACAAAATTAAAGTCAAGTACTGTACTACTGTATTTTGCTTATACACATTATCTTAACCCCACAGTACGTGGTTATCATCACGTGTTGATTCATGGGGTACTGAGGCTATTGTTTCATATTGATTTGAACTACAGTATTATTGTCTGGGTATTACACATGTGATGCTAATATGGATATAATAGCTATGTGATTTGGGGAATATGTTAACATGTTGAAAGGCAAGGCATCAAGGGAAAACGAAAACACATTAAGCAGAAAAGAACATACAGTATTGTGTATGATGTAATTCCATCATAATTACTTGTGTATATCAATTATGTATATGGTTTTTACAATTCTATACGGTTGAAGTATACCAGGTCAGTCAAGCATCATTTGACCTCCACTATACCATTGAAAACAAATATAGTCAATCATACCACCTGAACAGACTCCTGCAATCACATTAACACTTCTAGTATAGCGTACCGATCGTGCAACAATCACCTGTTTTTTAAATCCAGCTATGGAAAGAATTTTTTCCCACATATAGTACCAGACCACATGACTACTCAAGTGTATAATGGGATCATAAAAATAAGTATATTTTCTATATAAAGTGATGATACTTAACTCACCACATCTGTTCCAAGTTTGCCAACACGATGAGGGAGTAGAAAGAGAGAGTTGCCCAAACCAGTATTGCGAAATGCAGCAGAATGAAGTAAATCCAGGGCAATGGTGGTTGGGTCTCGTATGGAAAGGTCTACCTTGATGCGTTTAATAGTATCCTTTAATTCCCAAGGCTTGAAGACTGACTGAGTACCTACTTCACCAAGAATTTGAAGTCCAGCATCCCTGAAATGGTTGAAATGATTAAATGATTGATTAATGCCTTGTAGAATATGGACAAGGTATTCAAATTATAGACAATATGGTATATACCATTACCAGCCCGTCCTCCAAAGAAAGACCAAAAAAAGTTCATTCCATGTACCCGCTAAACCCGCTGTTTAATGAAAAACGGTTTACACACGACTCGACTGATGACGTCTAAATACTGCTGGAACAAGTGCTTCACTGATGACTTTTGTCTGAATTACAACACTGTAAATGCTTCACCCACATAATACAAATAATCGGCATCCTGAACACCTTAACCTAACCACTGTCTAACCACTAACCTAGATATAATATGCTAATATATAATAATATTAATTTATATTTGAGAAAAGTTCTGTTTTGATTGAACAGAATGTTAAAATTGATGAATGCGTCTTTGGGGTCGACCGCTGGATAGAATGAATTTGGTCTAAGGACAGGTTGACCATTTCTGGGGAAAAGAGGGAGGGGACCATTACTGGGGAAAAAAAGTGGGGGCCATTACTGGGGGAAGGAAGGGAAGGGGGAAGGAAGGGGAAGGGGGAAGGAAGGGGAAGGGGGAAGGAAGGGGAAGGGGGAAGGAAGGGGAAGGGGGGAAGGGGGAAGGAAGGGGAAGGGGGAAGGAAGGGGAAGGGGGAAGGAAGGGGAAGGGGGAAGGAAGGGGAAGGGGGAAGGAAGGGGAAGGGGGAAGGAAGGGGAAGGGGGAAGGAAGTTAGGGTCGTCAAGGATCCAAGAGCAAAGACCAAACCTCTTTGTGCGATTGCTCGCCCAGTTAATGGTCAGACCCGACATTGCTTAACCCCTTGGAGAATACAATTCTCTGCTTTTTTTTTTTGTACAGTATATCAATTAAAAAAAATCCATGTACCATACTGTACTTCATTGTATATCCAGATTTTAATAAACTGGAACATGTGCTCAATTGTTTTTTTTATGTGCAGTACAGTAATTTTATATTTTTGTAAATGATCATTTACTTAGTGTGGCATGATGAAAAGTGCAGGAAAAAATATATCCAAGTAATTATGAAATATGCCACAGCAAAAGCAAGCTTAACTACTTAAGTATTGTAAACTTATATTTATGCAACTCGTCTCATTATTTTCTGAAAAATAATTTCAATATCAATATAAACCTAGTAATATTTTTCAAATACAGCATTAGAGTTCCAAAGGGTCTTGTCTCCAAATATCATTTATAACATGTTTTTGTACACGTGATGTGATTATCAAAGCAAAAGATACATTTCAGCTACTATGGTGTACTGTACTTACAAATAAAATAGATACAAAATAGTTCTGAAATCCAAAAACTTACCTTGCTATACAGTATTTACAAAATAAATATTTGGCTCCACCCCTACTGAATACTGGATCAAAAGCAGTTGTCAGTATATTTATATATGATACCATCAATAAAAAGGGGTTAATATATAGATAATTCTACAGATTAACCATTACAAAATTTATTTCTGCATGTATTCAAATGCCTGCTATACAAAAAATGGCAAGAAAACAACTTACAAGTTATCCCGGATTACATCGACACCATAGAGCACATGCTCTCTCCCAGACTCGGCAGTGAGGGCTCCACCAATTTGTTGAATATTACGAGTAATGAAAAATGCCGTCATGTTCTTTGTTGCAAGACCAGCACATGCACGCAACATGTGGGAGGCCCCTTGATTAATGCCAGACTCATAACGAGAGCCAGCCCTGAGAAGAAAATTGAAGTTACATTTGAGAAACTAATTGCTGTACCATATAGTACAGTACAGTATTTAATAAATGTAAATTTTACAGTTTTTACAGTTCAAATTATTTTACAGTATTTAAATTTTTACTTTTGTGAAAACCACAGCATTAATCCAATATGACCTTAACCCTATGTTCTCTGAATACTAAACTAGAAAACATAGGTGTAATTATACCACTTGGGGTAATTATACAATTGAATGCTTCTAGTTAATTGCTTTATACATGATTATTGGTTAGGCACCTAAAAAAAAAGTCTGCTGCCAAGTACAAAAAGTTCCAAATATTTTACACTTTCAATAATTTTTAAATATGAAATGAAAAGGAAAGTAAATGACATTTGAAAGGTAAACATGAGAAAATAGCCAAAATTCTATAGTTCATTATAATTTGGATAGTTAAATAATACAATGTTTCCAACAAATTCAGCACGAACTTACTTAACAAGAAGAGCCACATGAGAGACTGGGGCATTATTCTCCAATGAGGCAACAACTGTGCCAGATGGAAGAGTCGTCACCTTGGGGTCATGTTGGGGTAAAGAGTACGAGGACTGCTTAACTGCTGCCTGGGCAACATACCCACGTTTCTGTCAAGATCAAGTTGACCATTACAATGAGAGAAATATCACACACACACGACTGTTATTGTTCAGTACCTTAATTTTTAGAGAACTCTCCTGTGAACCCATTGACTAGTGAAATGCTGTGAGGTACATTCAAAGCTGGGGCCACATTAAGTCCCTTAACTCTGATTCTGAAATCAAGTAAAATGGCACATGTTGGAAAAAATGGAACAAGACTAACTAGTCATGGGTCTCAAAGCCTATGGCTGAGCTAAACAGTAATGTAAATAAACATTAAATATGATATTCCATTTCTAATATTTTTTTCCATATTTTTATGGAAATGGCCCACAAACCAAAAATTTGGTATACATTATTTTCTATCCCAAGGAAAGGAAAAGCATTATATTTTTAGCTATGTAAAGGATTTTGGCATTCCAAGTAGAATAAAAATTAAATAAATAAATGTAAAACACAAAACTTAAGATATTAATTGGAAGACACATTTATCTACAACACACCATCACAATATAGTCAGTAGATGCAATACTTTGAAGACAATACCCAAAATATATAGTTGGCTGTTAAGAGATTCTACCAAGAGATCAGCCACCCATGCCAGTAGTGAACTAGGAAATTAACATCCTTTATTAAAGCAATTTCGTCTGTAAAAAATGTGTATACAGTATTATGATCTATATATTGTACCCGCTCAACATTATTGAACAACATTCCTATATTATTCATTTATGGCAGCTGGATGCTGGTAATGAATCCCTCAATGATAAACATTTCACTTGTAAACTATGTGAACAAGAGCTGGGGCATACTCTCCAATACTGTGTCATTGCCCTGTTATCAATGATTTCAGACAAATTGGTATGAGTTACTTTGAGCTCTGTAACTATACACTCCCGAATACTGGAAGATATTCTTGTGCTGTATCCCAGATTTTGCTAGTGCATGCTGATAGATCGGCCTCACATTTTATGTTCCCCGATTCCATGTACGACTAACCATGCGAGATGGGGGGATATTAAACTTAGTTTTTGAGCCACACATTGTAATCTTTCATATTGAATATGGGTAGCAACATATTGCTGTGTATACCTAAGCTAGTTATAAAAAAAAAAAAAAAATAGGCAATGTACACACATGACATTACCTTTTGCATTTGCACGACATAAGAATAGTAATTGTTTTATTATTGCCACCCATTTTTGGTTTTTAATTATTATTCATATGTTAAGGGACAAGTAAAATTATGTTTATTCAGTATTTTAACTTATCAGTATAACAAAATAAATTATATTTTATATATTGTATTCCTGTTTTTGAAGACTAGAGCTAAGCACCCAAAATACTTTTGTCACTTAATATCTGGGCCTTTTTTCTAAAAAGTGTTATAAATATACAACTTCCATAATATTCAGTAATGACAAATAAGTTGCTTTAAGCACTGTATTCAATCACATTTTTGGATTTTCTTATTTGCAAGTTTACGCTGGTTGCATAGTTTATTATGAACGAAAGACAAGGTATATCAAAACCCTTCACTTCAATTAATACAAGAATTTAACCATTCAAAGTATTACATTATGACTTAAAACTATCCAACAGCAAAGATAAAAATGGTCATTTGAAGCCTTGACTAAGGACTACAAAACTGAATATGGATCAATCTGAGATGTCCAAAATTACAACCTCCAAAGTGCCAAATATGTTAGTCCCCTGACCCAGACCAGCTCTTCCCTACAGCAGCCAATCTTATCTCATTCTAAGGAACAATGTTTCTTTTGAATCATGTCACTAGTTTCCGCGATAAAATTAATACTGTATAACTTTCGTGGCCAACTGTGAATGTAAATGTTCTTAATATCCTGTGGCCAGTAATCTACACTTTTTATTTATTTATATATACAAGAGTTCTTACATTCTTGTACAGCCACTAGTATGCGTAGCATTTCGGGCAAGTCCTTAATCCTATGTTCCCTGGAATACGACTCCCGTGAAAAATCGTTTTTACAACCAAGTATTCATTTTACCGTCGAATTAAACAGAGGCTACAGTTAAGGATTTGCGCCCAGTAAATCCTCCCCGGCCAGGTTACGAGCCCAGGACAAAGCGCTCATGGAACGCCAGGCGAGCGTAGTACCTCTACGCCACTGAGACCGATGAATACTAACACATTAGGCAAGGTGTTGAAAGCCAAAACTATCAGAGGTATCAAAGCATCACTTGACGGGAAAGAAGACGGGAAACCATAAGCGTAGCTCTTGTCCTGTAACTACACATGGGTAAAAATATTTACGTAATACATTCTCCAAATATATATTAGGTTAGGTTAAGCTTTAAAATCTATATAATAATGAGGGCATGGTCAAATAGGATGAGGCACATCGATCGCAAGACTGTTCACCAATGGATTTTAAAACTCCCCAAACGTAACCCAACCTAACCCATTCTAACCTAACTACATACCATTTTGGCAAATGGAAAACTTTTAATAAAAATTGTACAGTTTAGTCATAGCTAGGTCAAATCTCCCACACATTTCAACAAAGCTAGTTTGCAAAGCAAAACCCTATGTATCACTGGGATAAGATGTATTAGGCCGTGTTGGGTTGGTACGTTTGAAAATATGTTTGTGAACCTTCTTGGTAAGAGACTTATCCTACAGCGACATTACCTGAATTTATCCGAGGGTCTCGACGAGGGCAGGAAGCCGGCAGCTTGTCTAAGGCCCCTCGATTTGCCCTGATAATCTTTTCTAGTTGTATTATAAAATCTAACAGGTTTTTTGGCATTTACCGCTTCGGCGGGTAGGCGGTTCCATGGGTTAACATATAACTTTGAAAGATAAAACTTTATACAGTACACCATTACGTTAGGTTGGGTGAGTTAAGCTTAGTTTGGTTCGGCAGGCATTATGCTCAAATAAATAAATGTTATGTAAACAAAGTGATTAATCTCTGATGAAGTGTTGGGAGCAAGTGAAGCCGGCCCGTATCCGGCCCGGCCGCCATAACTGTCCAGTCTTCCTCCTGTGGACACCCAGCCACCTCTCCTCCATGTCACTCACCGCTACGCTCCTCAACACACACGGCTTCACTGCATGCGAGGCCATCTTTTCTTATTTCTTTTCTGCTGGGAGTGTGCAGGAGACGAGCCAGCTGACGACCAATGGTGTCCAGCGGTGTCACGCAGGGTTGCCTGCCACATCTCACTTGCTCAAAGTAGCGAACTCCAGGACTAAAAGAAGCAAATTTATATTAAAAGTAGCCCAATATTTTGTTTAGTATCTGCTGATTCGGCTTTCAGACAATCAGTTTTCAGACAATTCGGTTTTAGACAAGACAAATATATTACTCTTTCAGAGTAATATATTTTAATACATAGAGTAACACTACACGATTTTATTGGTTTTATTAATATTATTACTGCATGTATTTAATAAAAAAAATGTGATAATAGGATAACTTACCAATACTCGCAGCATGAAACACATAATTATGGGTGTGGAGTCCCTCCAGTACGTCTTCACAGTTGAACAATCTTTATCATTATTATTATTATCAACAAGTTCTTCTGTATCCAGTCCGGTTTTCTTTTTGATGTATATGTTCTGGGTCTCAAGACACGTCAAAATGTCTAGTCCCATATCGATTTCTTAGTTTAGGTTTCATGTAACTCTCGAAAATAGCCGTTCAGCCAGGGCATTACTGGCTGGTAAGTTGTATATTTTCAATGCAAACTCAGCGAGGTCAATTAGAAATAGGCTCTCCAGAAGCGTTCTTGACAGTTAATTATTACTTTGGTCCAAAATGACGATCCAGATACTAGAATTTGTCTCTCACAAATGTTGGACCAGTCAGTGGTGAACAGTAGACGTCACTGGTTTTCAATTTCAATATGCTTAAAGTGGTCAGCTAGAACTAATCAAAGTTCAGGAAATGGGGGACGTGTGTAGCTAAGGCTAGTCACTATGCTACTGACTAATTCTTCACCTTTTTTACAAGTTTCAGCGATACTAGGAATGCTATATATAGAAGCTCTTTGCAGACTCTCACTCAAAATTGATATCGCATTGATATATATCACGTTATGTGATTTCTGCGTTTCTGAAGTTGGGTCGTAGGGCGTAGGACCACTTTGTCCTTCCACCGGAATGCTTGTGGGTCATACGTAAAAACTTGGACTGGCTTCAGTAGGGGCCTCCAGGCTTCTTGTGATTTCAGTAGAAATCTGCTTGTATGACTTTTTACAAGTTCCCGGTGATTTAGTGGTTGAGTATGCGACTTGGCAATGTCTTGGTCGTTGGTTCGCGCCCACCTCACAGCCCTAGATTTTCTCTATACAGGCTAATCATGCCCGTCCTACCTCTTGAGTGGCTTACTCTTCATCAATCAATTGGTCCATCTCTACATATTGGAACTTGTTTGTTGTTGTTTTAGATTTAGCTACTTGGAACTAAAATTTCCATGTAGGTAGGTTTTCCATCTTGAGGTTATCTTGAGATGATTTAGGGGCTTAGCGTCCCCGGGGCCAAGTTCTCGACCAGGCCCCCTTTTTGTTACACTACTCCAGGAAGCAACCCGTAGCAGTTATCTAACTCGCAGATACCTATTTACTGCTAGGTGAACAGGCGCATCTGGATGAAAGAAACTCTGCCCATTTTTTCCGCCTCCACCGGGGATCGAACCCGGAACCTCAGGACTACGAATCCCGAGCGTTGTCCACTCAGCTGTCAGGTCCCTCGGTGAGGGACTATTTACTGGCTAAGGTGAGCCCGTGAATATTGGTACTTTCCACCAAACATTTAAACATTATCATTTCAGGAGGATGAGCTGCTTGCAGAGACATTACCCGGGATGAAGTGTTAATAGTTAGGAGACGAAATTAGGCTAATTTATTTTTAAATTATCCCAGAAAGTCGCAAGTAGCGAGAGAATTTTTTTTGGAGCGTCGGGCTTTCAAAAATAGCCCAATTCGCTACTTTTATCCCAATCTGGCACCACTGGGTGTGCGGGGGAGCCCGGAGCGGCAAGAGGCGGCGGCCGCTGGCAACCCTAGCGTCGCCAGCTCCCTCACACCCGCTAGATGGCACTCATAACCCCCCCCCTCCCCCTTACCAACCTTCGCAACCCATTACCATAATATGACGGTACTAGACTTATTAACCCAAATTTCCCTGAGGGCAACCATCTGTCTAGTGGCCTCGAAGGGGACAGGAAGCCGGCGGTTTATCAAATGTTTTCCTCCCCTTCATTACTCCTGAGGTTTTTAAACTGAAGTAATGTTTTGGTATTATCTACTTTTACCCATGGGTTTATAACCATTTGGGTGAAAAAGGATCTCTTGTTTTATGTCCTACATTATGGCTTGTTGGGATGAAGCTGTTGCCTCTCGGATGTTTTACATATGACATTTTAAGGATGTGGTGTGGCTGGGGGTCGACTGGAGATATGTACAGTTGAATAACCACTTTCTTTGCCTTGAAAATTATCAGAAGAACAAAGCCATTATAACTATATAACACTTGTTAAGGATAAGGATAAGGCTTTGGGATAGGAAGGAATGGTTCCCAACGCAAACCTGCAAGAAGCGAGACTCATTCTACCTTCCATTCCAAGTGGTTGGGCTTCTTTTCCTTTAAGTCAAAAGTTAGTTTGACTATTACTAGGGTTTGGTGGGAGTCCTTTTACTGCAGCTCCCACTTGTGCAACTTTCAATGACTTGTGGATTCTGACTCCTGGGTCATTTTCTTCACCAATCCTCTGCCAAGTAGTATTGCTGTTTTGATAGTTGTGATGTGAATTGTTATAACAAGCAAGGTCTTGTATTTTCAATATTGAAAACCATTTACTAGTCTCATTCCCTATTTCACTGTCACTTATGTCTCACTCTTAGTAACACCAACTTTAAAATATTATGTTGCTTAAGAAAGCATTCACTAATAATCAGACCCAAAAAAAGCACTAACGATGCACTCATTAGTATGCTTAACTCGATTCATACAGCCCTTGATAAAAAGGAGCTCCCTGTTGGGTTATTTGTGGACCTGCGTAAAGCTTTTGATACTGTCAACCACCATAACCTTCTTCTTAAATTACATCATTATGGAGTCAGAGGGCACTCCCTACAATACCTCGAGTCCTACCTTACTGACAGGCTCCAATATGTTTCTGTGAATAATACAATTTCTCCCACCCTACCCATCGACATTGGTGTTCCTCAGGGCAGCATACTTGGCCCTCTCCTCTTTCTCATCTACATTAATGACCTTCCAAATGCCTCCCAACACCTCAAACCAATTCTATTTGCTGACGACACAACCTTCATTTACTCCAGTCCTGACCCTCTTGCTCTAAATGCCACAGTAAATACTGAGCTAAATAAAGTCCATCATTGGCTAACTGCCAACAAACTCACCCTTAACATTGACAAAACCTTCTATATTCTGTTTGGCAATAAATCCTCTAGTCTTATAAATCTCAAAATAAACAATACCCAAATTTGTAACAAATTAGATGGCAAATTCCTTGGCATTCTCATTGACAACAAGCTGAATTTCCAGGGACACATTCTAAATATATCAAAAAAGTTTCAAAAACTGTGGGCATTCTTTCTAAGATCAGATATTATGTACCACGCCCTGCTCTGGTGACTCTCTATTACTCCCTTATCTATCCTTATCTCAACTATGGTATTTGTGCTTGGGGTTCTACTACCCAAAATCACTTACGTCCTCTAATTACCCAACACAAAGCCGCTATTAGAACAATATCCAACTCTGGCCCCAGACATCACTCGGTACCCCTACTCAAATCTCTTAATATGTTAGATATTAAGTCACTGCACATTCTCTCATGTGTATTATACATATATAAAACGCTAAACTATAATGCCAATCCTGATCTTAAAAGCTTCATAGAAGGTTGTAACAGAACCCATGAGCACCACACCAGAAATAAATACAGTTTTGATATTCCTAGAGTACGTCTTAATCAAACTAGAAATGCTCTGCAAATCAAGGGGCCCAGAATGTGGAATGACCTTCCCAACCATGTTAAAGACTGTCCCTCTCTCAACCAGTTTAAGATAAAAACTAAACACTACCTAATAAATTCCCTGTAATCTACCTCACTCCTCTATTGTCAACCCATGTCTGTTATTTTCTTTTTTTTTCTTTTTTGTAATCAACACTGTTTGTCAACCTATTGTATTTGTGCTGCTTTTTCAGTCATGTTCCCCCTTTTTTTTTTTTATCTTTATTTGTATTTGTTCTCAACATCTTTTATTCTTTATGCTCAATTAGTATTAAGTTCTAGATATTAATGTTTTTCTTGCCCGAAACGCATTGCGTAATAGTGGCTTTAGGCATTGTATGTACTAGCTCTATCTATATATCAATCCATTAATGTAACATCACTTGTATGTATATACCTTACCTGAATAAACATCTGAATCTGAATCTGAATCTGAATTCTAAAACATTTTTTGCTTTGGTATTCTCTGTTTTGTTAATACATTTTATTCTGCTAAAATTAAAGGCACAAATGAAGCAAAAACTGTTTGACCTAGATCCTCTAGATATTTTATCACATACATGCTTTGCTGCTTCCATTGTGCTAACGTTTGGTGGCCTCTATGTAACTCCTATCATTAGATTACTAATATTTTCATTTAATTCTAACCAAATAGTTTCTGTATGTGGCTTAGATTTGATTCCCTCTGACAATTAATTTAAAATTTTCCAATATACTGTACATTGCTACTCCCCCTTCTTCGTCTAATTTATCAATGTGAAATAATTTGTATTTCTTAATTTGATATTCAGCTATTTCCCTACTTTTTACCTTCATGCAAATTTTGGTTACTTTGATAACATTACGCAATTTTGTGCAGACAGCATTTAAATCATCTGTTTTGTTTCAAAACTCCTTCTACAGATAATGTATTTGTGTTGTATACAGTACCTTAAGGGTATTGCTATGTTGAGGCTTGTCTCTGCCCCATTTCTTTTCCTTGCCAATACCTGCTTTTATTGACTATTTCCCCAAATCCATTCACAAACCTTTATCATCTATCAGTGTAAACTCAAACAAACCCTTCCAGCCAGACTCCAATATATATACAGTATTGGCAAAGGCAACAACCCCAGCCCTAGGTAAATGAACCCCATCCCAAGCATGTATATCATTCTTTCCATAGAATTATTCCCAGTTATCAATGAATATTGCAC